GGGCGGCGGCCAGCGGCAGTGGCCGAGGCCGGAGGGGCGCAGTTTGGCTCTCTTGGTGGCACAAGAGAGCCAGCGACGGGTCTCAAGCCTTGACCCATCAAACTGGTGCTGTAGACAGCTCACGCGGACAGCACGCGGGAGATGGGGGTGGGGGGTGAGGACGGTCAAGGGGCTCCTGCGTCAGGCCAGGTGAAGGGAAGGCCGAAGGGAGGCAGCGAGCGTGCGGGGCCTTCCGCGGTGGCACCGACAGCCTGTAAGGGACACGGGGAGCTCCCGCCCCGTCGAGCCCAGCCGCGCTGGAGCTGGGACAGTGCTCGCGGGCGGGCTCTCCCTTCTCCTGCACGCTGGTCCTCCCTGCCGGGTCCCGCCGTGCGCCCCGGACCCCGCTCTGGGCCGAGAGCCCCGTCCTGGCCCCCCAGCATCCGCCCGCCGGCCGCAGCGCAGGGAGGCGGGAGCTCTGCTGGGGCGGGCTGCGGCGCGTGCCTGAGCCCCAAGCAGGGGTGGGGGGACCCCACGCACACGGCGCCCCCTGAGACAGTGGGAGCGGGTGAGAATCCCGGGTGTCCGCTGCAAAGAGCAGACTGCGTACTGCGGAGGCAAAAAGAGGAGGCCTTGGGCCGGGCGGCGTGGCTCCCGCCCCCCGCAGACCTGCTTCGACCCTGGTCCCGCCGCCCTGGAGAGGGCCACGGCGAGGCAGGAAAGGTCACCTTCGGTCTGGAGGGAGCCTTGTGCTGCGGCGAGCCTGAGACGTTTGCTGAGAATATAGACGGAGTGATTTGGGCTGGGAAAGGGGGACCGGCTCCTTCCTTCCTTGCCCCATCCCCTCCCATTTCCTCTTGCTGGGCAGTGGGGAGCAGGTGGGCTGGAACCGGCGCTACAGGCCCAGATCCCCACCCCCGCCCTGCCTGCACTTGGGGTAACCTCAAGCTGAAAGTGCGGGTTCTCCAGCTGCCTTGGCTTCGGGTGCCTTTCAAGGTCACCCCCAAACATCCGTACACCTTCCCCTAAATACCACGGAGTGCCTAACAGCTCAGGATTTGTTGGCAGTTTTCCTTTTGAGGTAAAAGGTACTTGGGTTGAGGGGCACCTGGGTGGCTCGGTCGGTTAGGTGTCGGCCTCCTGATTGCGGCTCAGGTCGTGATCTCAGGGTCTTGGGATCGAGCCCTGTAGTGGGCTCTGCGCTCAGCGGGGAGTCTGCTTGGGATTCTCTCTCTCCGTCTGCGCGCCGCCCCCACACACTGTCATTCTAAATAAATAAAATTTTAAAAAAAAGTTCTTAGGTTGAAGTGCAGAAATCTGAAGTGTGCATTCCCCGAGCTTTCACAAATGCACATGAGCGTGTAATGCACGCCTGCATGACCTTCTGTTGCCTGAGCATGGCTGGAGCAGGTAATGCCTGGGGTTGCACCCGAGAGAGCAGGGGAGAACTAGCCCATCCGAGTGGGTATGGAGGAGCAGGGAGGGGGAGGAGGGAGAGGAGGCGGAGGGTCAGGTCTTCTCAGACCGCATCCCACCAGCTGCCAGCTCTCGGACATGGTTACATTGTTGGGTGGAAACCTCAGAACTCCGACACAGAGTAGCGCTCCTGTTCTGCTAGGCCTGTCACTGTTAAAATTCCCATCTGACCCATAGCCCTTTATGTTCATGTGTGGAAACCCAGGAGGAGAAGAAAGGTGACGCCAGGCTTTGGCCTGAACCCCAGACACCTCTGACTGGGTTCTGGAAACAAGTGCAAATAGTGAACAGTGGTATTTGTGAAAGTGAGCTGACCCAGGGAGGTTGCCTATCCAGCCGCTCTTGTCTCCTTTTTCCTTGTTAGCAAAGCCCACGCCCAGCGAGAAGGGCTGAAAATGCCCGGTGCTCACTCCCCAGCCTTCCCCGCAGCTGGGAGCGTGCACCCATGCAGGCCAATGGCACATCAGGGAAAGTTACTGGGGCTTCTAGGAAAGATGTTCTCTGTCCCAAAAAGAGCTACATGGGAGGAAATGCCCTATTCTTCCCTATTCTTCCCTAGTTGAAATGTTATCATGTGCGGGTGTGAAGCTTGGAGCTGTGGCAGCTGCATTGCCACCATGAGTTGTAAAACTAAGAGAATCAAAGAAAAATCAGCCTCTGTTCCTGAGTCTTAGAGCTGCTGAATCCTGGAGTGTTTACCTGTAGACTTGTCGCGGGAGGCCATGCAGTCTCCATTGTCGGACAGTCTGTTCTTAGCAGTCTAAAGCATGGTAAGTGATAACACATGATTTGTAAAAGTTTTTACTGGTAATACCACAGCATTTCCTGAAAACAATCGTATTTATATTATAAAGATCAGACTTAACTGTTTTAAAGAAAATTATAATCCACTGATTTGTGGTAGGAGTAAATCACCAGTTCTCAAAAGAGTTCAGATGACAGAACAGGAATTGTTTCCAAATGACGGTCTTCAATATTTGTAGGAATTTCAACATCATCACAGTCTCCTTCAGATTACATAGGCTCGGGGTAACTTTCTTCATAGTTGTACTTTATCTGTGAGTGTGTAGCTGGCGGCAATGCAGCTGACGTGGGGTGTCCTAGGGGGCTAGAATGGACAAAAAGGCCTTGAAAATTTTTGATATATTTAATGTTATCATCCAAATTGGGAAAAACTTTTCTTTTTTTACCAAGCTGGTAAAAACATGGCTCTACTGCAGGTACCCAGGGTAAAATCTCAACCACAGCGTGCCTGCTCGGGGAAAAACTACTTGTTTCCTTTTGTCCAACTGGTTGGTAGATTTTTTAGGAATGTTCAACATCCAGTAAATGTTTACTAAGGGCCTACTGTGTGCCAGAGTTTGTGCTAGATACTGGGACTACAGCCGCGAGCCAGGCAAGCTCCACCCCAGTGGAGCCCCGGATTAGAAAGAGGGACGGAGAAGGAAGAAGGCAATTATAATGCAGAGACGGATGTATTCCCATGGGCCATCTTTGTTCATTCATTCATTCAACTGATCATTCTTTCGCCATGTTTGTTGAGTATCCACAGAGTTCCCAGGCATTGTCCTAGGGAGGGAGAAAACACTGGGAGGAAAGACACTGTCCCTGTCCCCCCACGTTCCCGTCACTCTAGTGGGGGAGGAAGACAGGTAAACAGGACATCCCCGGGTGCTAATGCTATGGGAGGAGATCATCGAAGAGGGCATCAGGTTCAGGTTTGGGGTGGTGACGTAGGAGGGATGAGAAGGTGGGGAAGAATGTTCTAGACGGGAGGGAGGTTACTGTGCATAGCCGTAGGGGCAAGAGAGACCCCAGACCAGGTCATTTCAAGTGACTGGAGCAAAAATTTTGTCAGAATGTAAGTTGCAAGGGGGCGGGGAGGGGAAGTTTTCAGGAGAGACCCGGAGACTGGATCCTGACAAGTGTTGTAACCCATATTAAGGAGTTTGGGGGTTTTCTGAGGGTGATGGATGAAGAAGAGGTTTAAGCAAGAGAATGGAGGGGTCAGATGTCCCCTTGAGAAAGCGGCTAGCTGTCGCATAGAAAGGGGAGTGGAGGGTGAGACGTTAGTGGCAGGAGAGGCTGCCTGACCAGGGCCGGGTCATGGGTGCGGTCACAGAGCAGGGACACGGGGAAGGAGGAGGACCCCCGCACACTGTTCCAGTTTCTGACTCCAGGGACTGAAAAGGTAGCAGAGTGCAGGGAGTCTGGGATTGGGGTAGGGAAGCGTTCCTTTTGGGGTATGTGGAGCTTGAGGGCCCTATTGGGGGGGTCCTGTGCATGTCCTGGGGGCAGCCGGGCTGGGACTGAGGAGTGGGCTCAGCTGGAGCCTGTGGACCCCCACCGGGGTTTCGGGGGGATGAGGCAGGCACAGGGAAGAGCCTGGGGATGGGGGGCAGGCTGGCTGGAGGAGAACAGGAGATGGGGCCATCCCAGAAACGAGGAGGAGGTCATTCCTCTCTGGTATTTGCTTCTAACTTTTGTCATCGATGTGGCCGGTTTACGGACCATTCCTAAGAGGGAGGCATGCACGTGGCACATGTCTGTCCTGTGGCTTACTCGTTTTGTTTGTAACTTGGGGAGTGAGGCCTCTCTGGCTCCTGGGGCTCCAGGGGTCCGTCAGGCCGCAGTGAGAGGACCATGTGGCCCACGAGAAGGCGGTGGTCACACGGAAAGTCTGCTGGGAATCTAGAAAGACAGAAGCTGGAGGAAGGCCCTTCCCCACTGGTCCCGTGGTGAACACAGTTTGAGCACGCAGTGTCGGTGTCTGGAGGAGGAGCTCAGTCCAACGGTCACTCGGCCTTTCGGAGCTCCATGGCGCTCTCCCTGCGAGCCTGCTCTGCGGGAGTCCCTGGGGATTGTTTAGAAATCAGGTCTCCGGTCTGCTTAGGATGCGCCAATCTGAGGGCTCAGCTGATCAATGCCGAGGAATGGACGAGGTTCCAGAGCCTCCAGGCTGCCTCTGGCCTCGGGGTTGGGGGCACTTCCATGGCAGGACCCCAGCCCCTTCCACACATCTGACCCCAGAGACTCCACGCGGTGCAGCGCGGCCTCCCAGACGCGCTCGGGGACAGTGATCTCAGTGCTGTTTGCGCAGAACGTGACTGAAGGAACCCTCCTCTTGAACCTGCCACGTAATTTTCCCTTTCTTGCCTCTTGCCCATGACTTGCCCCGGGGAAGCCTCCTTTCCTGTAGCTCCCCAGGACACGTATCTCACAAGGCCCTGCTGCGTGTATGTGCTTTGACCCAGAGGGTGACCCGTTTCTGTCCTTGTTGATTGCCACAATGCCACCAGGAGGCACAGGAAAAAAAATCTGGGAGAACCTGAATCTGGGGTCCATCCGGCTAATGTCACGGAGAGGCTGTGGGGTTTGGGGGGTGTGTAGGTGGGGACGGTTCACAAGAACAAAATGCACTGCTTGGTCTTGAGGAATCTGCAAGGTGTGATGTGGCGGCTTGCACACGCCGAGCGAGCAGCTGGAACGGCCGCCCACAGCCCTCGGGGTACAGGGTGGGGAGTGGGGGGAGGGGGGATGGGTGGGGAGTGGGGTGGGACCCCTGGGGCCGCGCTGGGGATGGGAGCCTGGAGGCTCAGCAGCCCAACACCCAGATTTGGCATCACTTTGAGCAAACAAGAGAAGAGGAGGGAAAGAGTGTTTCTCATGGGTGGTGGGGTTGGGGGGGGGAGCCACCGGACCTAGAGGTCCTTCCGGGGAGGTTCAAGGTTCAAGGCCTGAGCCTTTGGAGTCTCCAGGGCAGAGCTTGGCCCCTGTTCCTCTGGATGCTGGTGCTTCTGGCTCTAAACCACAAGCTCTGTCCTCTAGAGCTCCACGACATGACCCCGGGCTCTCGGGACCCCGCTCTCTGTTGGGATTCATCTGTTCTCAGTGGGTTGAAAAAGCTGTGCAAATCCTCTTTAACTTGCCGGCAAAGAAGGGCCAGAGATCTCAGAAACGCTGCTTTTCCATATGTGCGGGGATTTCAACATCATCGTAATCGTCCAGGGGCTCGATGTAGCTCGGGATGGACACGGTCTTCTTGTCTCTAAGTTTGTTGACCCGCGAGTATGTAGCTGGTGGCTCACTTGGGGTCTCCTGTGGGACTAGAATGCACAACAAGGTCCTTACAGGCAAAGCTGTGGTGTGTTTTTACGTTTTTGATGAAGTTACTCAGCACGATTTTCATGGGTTTGGGTAATCTTCCCACGGTCCGGCGGAGCAGACCCCCATCTCTTATGGGGGAAACCGAGGCACAGACATGACACGGCCTCAGGATCCCCCAAGCAGGTCGATGGCAGATGTTGGTCTGACACCATGGCTCCTGTGTCCCTCTGCCTGCACCCGCCCCCCGCTCCCGTCATGGCAACCAGGAAAGAGAAGTGTAGACAAGCTGACCTAAGCCGATACTCAAATGAGTAGAATTGTGTGATACCCTCATTCTCGTGGGGGAAGTGATAAAAACCACGTTTCCTTTTTGGCACATCCCTCCCAGGGACCTACAGTGTTTTCCAGAACTTCCCCTAATTGCTCAGGGACAAATCTCTGTTCAGAAGGAAGGACAGGACAGTGGTGTTTGCAGAATGGGGGCTTAGGGAATGGGTACGGAGCAAAGAAGCACCAAGGCAGCCAGAGAAAGGACATTGAACGAACAAGCCAGGTAGGCCTCAGATGATACCGGAATGTTCTCGACCACAATCTCTTCCTTCCTACGTGCACCTGAGAGGGGACCAGCCCTCATTTCTTGCCGGGCTCTGCGGTCAGATCCCCAGTTCATCCCCAGGCTCCAGCAGTCCCTCGCTGTGTCGCCATGGGTGAGGCCCTGCACATCTCTGTGCCTCCGTGTCCTCATCCGTCAAAGGGGAATAAGGACGTATGTGCCTCGCACTGTTGTTGGGGGTGTCACGTGAGACGGCGCCCGCAGAGTGCCTTGTACGGGGCCTGCCCCGCCGGGCTGCTCAGTAAATGTGGGCTAATCTCACGATGTACCCATTCAGTCGAGACAGTCCTATGCTCTCCTAAGCCCCAGGCCCTGGTCTTAGTGGTGGGTCCCCGGTGGTTAGCCAGACAGAAACGTTCCCGTTTCCTCGACTTTGTGTTCTAGCGGGAGGAGGGCGGGCAGAAACAAAGTAAGACAACTTTGCGTAATTGCCACACATTTCATGAAGGGAATTACTGGGTTCATTTTAGAGAGGGTGGACAGGAGGGGCCTCTTTGAGGTGCTGACTTTTTTTTTTTTTTAAGATTTTATTTATTTGAGAGAGAGAGAGAAAAAAGGGGGGGGGAGAAAAGAGGGACGGGGGGAGACTCCACACTAAGCAGGGAGCCTGACTTGGGGCTCGATCCCAGGACCCTGAGATCATGACCTGAGCTGAAACCAAGAGTCGGATGCTTTACTGACTGAGCCCCCCCAGGCGCCCCGAGGGGCTGACATGTGGGCTGACCTCGAAGGGTGAAATAAGGCCACTACCTAAGCAGTTTAAAGAAGAACATTCCAGTCCAGGGAACCAGGCAGAGTGTTTCTGATGGGAAGTGTGGGAGGCCCAGTAACACCCCAGGTTTCTTTTCACTCATGCTCCAAACCGGGATTTGAATGTAAGTTTGCAGGTTGAACGCCAGGAGCGTTGCTACTCACTTTGCTCCCTTTTTAACTTTTTGGTCCCTTTCAGAAGGATGGTACCATCTGCAGATGCTAGTGGTATGGACTGTTTTTTTGTCCCCACAAAATTCCTATGTTGAAGGCATAAGCCCCCAGTGAGGTTGTGTTCGGGATGGAGCCATTAAGGGGGTAATTAACGCTAAATGAGGTCATAAGGGTAGGGTCCTGATCGCATAGGCTTTTGTCCTTATAAGAGACACCAGAGTGCCCTCTCTCCCTCTTCCCTACCCCATCCCCCCTGACCAAATTGGCTGGCACCTTGGTATTGACATTCTAGCCTCCGGGACCGTGAGAAAATACATTTCAGTTGTTTAAGCCACCTAGTCTATGGTATTTCGTGCGGGCAGCCCAAGCTCAGACACTTACATTTGTGTTCCGGAAAAAGCAAACCCCTGGGCGGCAGAGGGGGTAACTGAACCGACGGTTCGTTAAGAACATTCCTGGAGATAGAGGGAGAGAGAGGAGTAAGGCTGTGCTTTTGACCATCCTGGCTCAGCCAACTGGAAGGAAAACATCACAGAAAAAGGACAGGGTTGAACATCCAAGTCCTGGTTCCTGAAGGCGGGAGGCATCTCCTTCTCTAGGTTTTGGATCCCATTTGTAAGGAAACCGTCTCCCCTCGCCCTGGGAGCAGCTGGACTTAGCACGGAGCTTGCCTTCCAGGGTTCTCCTGCACTGTTTTAGGAAGGGGAGGTGAGCGCCAAACCCGGGTGTTCCTAAAGCCGACTTTATCCACCCCGCTGAGATGGTCGCACGCGCTCACCAGAAACGTGGACCGGAATGTTCCTCACAGCACCGTGCACCACAGCCCCGGACTGGACACCACTCAGATGCACATGAGCCAGAGAGTGGGTCAGTCCCTCATGGTCCCCTGCACTGTGGGACGCTCCACAGGAGTGAGGGTGAACCGTCTGTAGCCACCCACAAGGACACTCGGGGAGTTGGTGAGCAAAAGAAGTCAAACACTAGACACTCTGTAGGCCCTTTCAGAGGCCGGGATGGAGTAGCCACTCTACGGCCGGAACCAAGCTCGGGGAGCCTCTCTGGCTGGCGCTGCTTTTTGTGCATGGTGCCCCACGTGGATGCTGGGAGAAGGAAGCCTGGTTCCCGCACTCATGCGGCGAGAGAACCAGTGGAAGCCTGTGCCTTGTTTCTCCTGGGCTCCATCCCGTATGCCTTCCCTTTGCCGACTTACTCTGTACCCTTCTACTATAATAACCCCAAACCGTGACTGTTGTAGCTTTTCTGGGTCCTGGGAGTGCTTCTTGTGAGTCATCAAGCCAAATGGTGATCCTGGGTACCCCCCAATACGTAGCAAACATAAAAGCCCCAAGTTGGGACCTCTGGGGGGCTCAGTCCTTTAAGTGTCTGCCTTCGGCTCAGGTCAGGATCCCAGACTCCGGGGATCAAGTCCAGTATCGGGCTCCCTGCTCAGTGGGGAGCCTGCTTCTCCCTCTGCCCCTCCCCCTGCTTGTGCACGTGCACTTTGTCTCTCTCTTTCCTTCTGCCAAATAAATAAATAAAATATTTTTTTAAAACCCCAGATATGAGGGCGCCTGGATGGCTCAGTGGGCTAAAGCCTCTGCCTTCGGCTCAGGTCATGATCCCAGGGTCCTGGGATCGAGCCCTGCATTGGGCTCTCTGCTCAGCAGGGAGCCTGCTTCCTCCTCTCTCTCTGCCTGCCTCTCTGCCTACCTGTGATCTCTGTCTGTCAGATAAATAAATAAAATCTAAAAAAAAAAAAAAAAAAGCCCCAAATATGTCACAGGATACACAAGGAAGGCAGGTGGCATATTGTCGTTAAGCACACAGCCTTAAGGGGGCTGTACTTGTGATCCATTTAAAGAAGAGGAGGGTGGGACTCCTGGCTGGCTGGGTCAGCGGTGGAAGCCACGCTTGACCTTGGGGTTGCGAGTTCGAGCCCCAGGTTGGGGGTAGAGCTGACTTAAAAATAAAATCTTAAAAGAAAAGTGGTGGGCCCAGCACACAGAGCCTGGCCTGTGACTGCTACCAGAGGAGACGGGACCAGGGCGACGTGGAATGCAGAGCCACAGACCGTGCCCCGCATACTCAAAGCCCGAGTCCTGTCCCCTTGCGGTGGCGGAGCGGGCCGCGCAGGCGCAGTGGACCATCAGGGTGCCCTGGCGGAGTAGCGCAGGTGCGGGGTGGGGTGGGAGCGGGAGCCCTCTGAACCGAGAAACAGAGGATTTCCTCTTACTTACTCGTACATCTTCTCTTCATCCCTTTGCTTGTCTTCCCAGGGCTTGGCAATCTCCCACTTCTTGCCTAAGGAGTCAGATAAGCACGTCCACGTAGGAAGAAAGCAGGAGGGGGGCTCTGCGGTTCAGAAGTCCGCGGACACCAGCTGTGTTCAGGGCATGGGGGGAAGAACCACCGGGCAGACACGGACTCGGGGACAAGGAGCAGGTGAGCGGAGGACACGGGCGTCCCCACGGGCCTTCTGCCCGCCGAGCCTTTTGCTAATCCTCGAGGGTTAATACCGTGGGTCAAGATAAAAGAGAACAGATGAGGTTTTTGTTCAGGGTCACGCTTTTGTGCGTATCTAAAAAGGAAACCGTTTAAGAGGCAAATGGACAGAGGAGTATAGGAGCCAGAGTATGCTTTGTACTTAAAAAATGAAGAATTATGGGCTCCCTGCTCAGCAGGGGGTCTGCTTCTCCTGCGGCCCAGTGTCCACCATGCTCCAGCTCTCTCAAAGAAAGAACGAAAGAAAGAATCTCTTTAAAAACTGTGTGTGTGTGGGGGGGGCGCGTCTGGGTGGCTCAATCAGTTAAGCGTTTGCCTTCAGCTCAGGTCATGATCTGAGGGTCCTAGGATCGAGTCCCACACGGGGCTCCTTGCTCAGTAGGGAGCCTGCTTCCCCCTCTCCCTCTGCCCCTCCCCCTGATTGCACATGTGAGCTCTCTTCCTCTCTCTTTAATAAGTAGATTCTTTAAGTCAAGGGGTAGAAGTGAAGGAACACTGCACGGGAAGCCCAGTGGACCCGAGTTCTGGTCCCAACTCCGCCACCAACTCCTATGAGGCCTCAGCCAAGGCTTTGCCTCTCTCTGAACCTTAACTGTCTTATCTCCAAAAACAGATGGAGGAGAATGACAAGGTCTCACTCCTCGTGCAGCCCTGACCTTTCAGGAGAGACGGGATCCCCGAGGGATGCCCGCCCGGGCTGTGCGCCCCCGGGGAGAGGGCCGAACCGCTCAGTGAGCTTACTACCATCCTTAGGTCATCGGGGGGGATACGATCTCAAGAACACACACCATCGGATCAGGGATTTCACGTTTGGGGAGATGAACAGCAAAGTGGAAACCCACTTGTAGACAATCTAAAGTCGGCGTAAGGCCTCCAGGAAGCTGCTCGTGTGTGTTCCGAGGAGGCCAAGGCAGCTGTCATACTAGAGAATTCAGAGGACGACCTCGGAGAGGGCAGTCGTGGAGGCCAACGTGTCCATTGTGGACTGAGCAGAGGGGGAAACTGAGGCCCAGAGAATCATGATGCTTCATCCAAAATTCAGCCGATACAGGCCCGGAACGAATCTTCCTGCTCTAAAGGAAGCCTGGCCCACGGGGGAGCCGCCCAGCCCTCCCCGCCCTCCACCTGCCCAGGTGCGACTGCCCTTACCCTGCCTGAGCAGCTGCCGACAGGCACAATACAGGATGAGGCCCAGGCCCGAGGAGACGAGGATGATGGCCACGGCTAGAATGACCCAGAAATTGTTCCTCCACCAGTCCATCACAGTGGGGCCCTGGGGAGAATGGAGACAGAGGAAGGAGGCGTGAGTAGGGGCATCGGGCGGGGAGGGGTGGGGGCCGCTGTCTACCACGGGGCCGGGGCCGCGGCCGCGGGGAAGCCTGTGCTTATAGGTCAGTCAGGCGCTGGCTCAGGCACATCCTGCCCGCCAGGAGCGGGGAGACCCTGAGCCTGGGCTGGTCCCCCTGTGCAGCTCAGGAGCGGCGCTGGCCAGCGCTTCCCAGGGCAGTCATGTGCACCACAGACAAGACCATGCCTGGGGGCTTCCTCGCTGCTCTTTCCTAGATTGTCGAACACGCAGGGGAGGGGCAGTGCCACCAAATGCAGTTGCTTTTATATCAAAGGGGCAAGAGACTTAATTCCTATTTTTTCTTTTTCCTTGGAGGTGGGGGTTAGGAAGATACCTCGGTGGGTCTCCTGGAGCAAGGGGAAGGGGGAAGGTAAAAATGCAAGGCAAACTCAGTGAGTCCACTGGGAAAAAGGAACGGGAATTTGGGGGCTGCAAGCTGGCTGGGTCGAGCAGGTCGTAAACATTCTCATCCCATGCGAGGGGCCCGCGGCTCCACAGGTGTATCCCGTCGACTCGCCGCACCTTTTCAGCGTATACAGTGAGATAAGCCAGTTACGCCCCGGTTATACCCTGGGTGGGGCGGGGGTGGGGAAGGAGAGAGGGAAACAGGAAGAGAGCAGAAAGTTCGAGAATTGTTAGAAAGTCCCCGTGGTGGAGGCTGGCTGCACTTTTGCAGAATGGCGATGACTAACATTCAGCTCGGAGCAGTTGTGCCGCAATCTGTGTTACATCAAGGCTGCAGTGAAATTGCACAATACAAGCTTGTTCGAATGGAGCCTGGGGAGTCCTGGCATGTGTGCCCTAGTTTTTCAAGCAGGGGAGGACGTGTGCCACAGTGGGGAGCGGGCTGCAGGCCGGACTCACAGGCCTAGCCTCCGGGAAGGCAGGGAGCTCTTGGGTGAGGAGCAGCGCCCCCCTCCCATCCAGGGCACGGGCACTCTGCCCGCTCATTTGGCTTTTCAGATAAAAAAAAAAGATCCCTGAGGCCTGGCATATCCCAGGTACGTGAGAATCCACTTCCTGAGTCATCGTTTAGCCGATGGGAGCTCACGCATGCCCGCCCGCGCAGAGCCATTTCCGATTCAAGCCTTTGGGAGTGATACTGGTGGTGAACGCAGGGAGCCAGGCAGGGGAACGCGGGCGGCAGGAGGCTGTGGCTGCTCAGGCCATCTTTCCCGCAAAGACTTCTGACGTGGCTTCCTGTGTACACGCGTGTGTGTGTTACCAGCATAGCGACTTCATTTATGACGTTGTTCCGTTATAATTTGGGTTTTCAGTTCCAAGGTTTGTTTCGTCCGTGAGGGCGCGGCTCGATCAAACAGGACGGTTTCGGGCTATTCACGGAGTTCTGCGTATCGAAACCAGTTGTGTGCTCCTAGTGGTCCCGCAGGCACGTCATGCCGCAGCTTTTCTGCTCAATGTTTTGCTCGGTATTACGTGTCTGTCGTTGATCCGTGGTGGCGGATGTGCTGGGGACTGACTCTGCGGAGAGTGAAGTGTCCGCTAGCCAGGTTTGCCCCACCCCCAGGCGTGCACTCAGCAGAGGTTTGGGGGTAAGTTGCCTTTTCAGGATGCACAGAAGAAAGCAATAGAGGAAGGAGAACCAAGGGAAAAAGAAAAAGCACAGGGACTGGGAACTTGGCTTTCAGGAGAGCCCCGGGAAATTTGGTTTTGCAGGGCCCAGTGAGGTCACGGGGCACTGGACTTAGGAGAATACCATACATCAGAGGGTGGGCTCTTTGTTTAATAAACCTAATTGGAACCTCACCTTCTTTAGCTCTGGGGAGTGGAGGGATGGATGGATGGTTAGATGGATGGATTGGAGGATGGATGGATGGGTGGATAGATGGACAGATGGACAAACAGAATTTTCTTCCTTCCATTCTCTTATACTCAAATATGTATCTCCTGGTTCTTTGTCTAATTTGTCTCTCACATTTTCTATCTTTTGGTTTTTTTGCTTTAATCTTGAAGGACTTCTCCAAAAGGCAATATAAACATACTCTTTAAGGCTACAGAAGTGAACACCAGGGCATACGAGTTCAGAGCTATTGCATCTGAGAAACAAAAACAAACAGACAAACAAAAAAAGGTTGATCTGAGGAGCACGAGACGGTGAAAGGTGGAGGATGGGAGACAGGGCTGCAACTTTCCACTGTAAACCTTCTGAATTACTTGATTTTTTAAAAAAAATTATGTGTATTTACAGGGAGCCTGGTTGGCTTAGTCAGTTAAGCATTCAACTGGATCTCAGCTCAGGTCTTAATCTCAGGGTTGTGAGTTCAAGCCCCGTGTTGGGCTCCGTGCTGGGCGTGGAGCCTACTTAAAACAAAACACCTCCCCCCCCCGCCGCTGCCAAAACAAAACTGTGTGTATTTACTTCAAGAAAATAAAATTTTAAAAAAAGGCACACAAAACCCACCAATTAAGCACATAGTGTAGCTTCGACGAAAAGCTACTGCTCAGATTTCAAGTTCAAAGCAAATCATTGTCCTCTGTGTCCGGGGGAAGAAAGAGGAAGAAGGATGATGTCAGCCAAGTGGAACTTGGGACGCTTCTGAGAACCTCACAGTGATGGGTACCTCGCGGTTCTGTTCTTACACATGGAGCGGCTCTGACTGGCCAGCAGACGTTTCGAGGGTGTCCTGGGCGCACAAGGCCTGCAGGGGCTTTCTGCTCTCCCCTCCCTTCATCCTTGCGCCACACACTTTCCCGGACCGGGCGTGGAGGTCGAGGGGACGGGGCCTGCCCAAGGTCCCCCAGCAGGGAGGAGGCGGGATGCTTTCTGTTTAGCTCCCAGGCCTCCCGCTGCGGATGTCGGTCACCATGGCCCCTGACATCGGGGACAGGCTGCGTGGGGCTCAGGGTGTCTCTCTTGCAGGAGTGCAGCGACAGTGGTGAGGTGGTGGGAGCCACGGATGAACGGTCGGGACCCACAGGGAAAGCCCCAAGTCCCTGCATTCCAGGGCCAGAGAACCAGCTCCTCCCTGTGGAGGGACGAGGTGCCTTCTCAACAAAAGCGGGATGAGGAGAGGAGCTGGGGAGAGGTAGCCGGGTGAGGAGGGTGCGGAGGGACCATGTCCCGTCCCTGCTGGTTGTCCTCTGGGCTCCTGGCTGGTTTAGTGCCCTGGGTGCTGCCAGAGAGGGGATGTGGACTCTGGGGAGCGGCGGCGGGGAGGACAGCCAGTGGGGGGCCTGTGTGGGCCGTCTGGAAGCTGGACCCCTGGTCGGCCAGCCTGGGGTAGAGAAGACGGTGGGGATCCGGCCGCAAGGGGCAGAGGTGTTTGTGGGACCAGCTGCTGGCAGGCCACAGACGTGGCCGAGTCTCTCAATGGGCCACAAGGGACCCCAGAGGCGATCTGCAGGAATGGCCACGGGTGGGAGACTGTCTGTCTGTCTGTCCTCCTCAGTGCGATACCAGGAAAGTAGTACAGGGTGGGCTGCAGGGGGGCTGAGGTGGCTCCTTCCCCTCCCCCCCTCAATGGGGCAAAGTCGGGGGCTTTGAGCCAAAGACAGTACTGAAGGTTTACAGTTCCCTCCTGGAGGCTCCACGGAAGAGCCATTTCCCTGTTCTGTTCGGCTTCAAGAGGCCACTCAGGTTCCTGCCCGCGACGACCCAGCACGATCTCCCATCTCCCCAGCTGCCAGTCAGTGACCTTGATTCCACCTGCGCCCTCTGTCCCCCTTTGTCCTGGGACCCTGCACCTCCCCACGCTGGGGCAGGCGGGCTCCGTGCACCAGCTACCGGGATCCGAGCTCCGTGAGATGAGACGCTTGCTAACGGGCCTCCATGCGCTTACGCATTCAACATCCTGTATTTTGCTGCCCAGGAGTAAGGAGGAAAAGGGGGAAAACGGGACGGACGTTTCTGCCATCGTGGACAGAATTCCACCACGTGGTACCTGGTGTGGCTGGCCTCGTTAGGAGTCCTGGGACGGACATGGCTCTCCTTCTGGGAGGTGTCTGTTGCATGGGAGGGAACATCTTTGTTTTCAAGAGTCTGAGGACATAGGAAGGTTCTCAAGGCAGGATGGGAGCTCACAGGTAACACAGGGCCCCACTAGCCAGAGCCGGGGGCCCACGGTCCAGTGTAGACCAGTACAGACCAGAAGAGGATCCAACACGGGCCCAGGTCAGCAGTCCAGGGGCTGCAGGGAGGGCACGGGGCCTAAGCCCACAGGTGCAGGCCTGAGGGTCCCAGCTGCTGGGAGGTCGGGAGCTGCAGACCTGACCTCAGGTCCTGTCACCTGGGGGAGCATTTGGTGGCCACCACATGGAGGAAGGAAGGGAAGGGGAGCAGTGGGAGCACCCCTTGGAAATCAGTTACGGAGCGGCTTGGAGGCATCAGGCCCTCGAGGAATATGGAAATTCCCTACCCTCACCATGCCTGAACCTTGGAACCACCCAGGGAGCTTGAACAGCTGCTTGCCTCCGAGACTCTGATTTAATGGATCTGGGGTGGGGGCCTGGCTGCTGGGGTGTGTTTATGGTCTTAATAAAATTGTCCAGATGGGTAATAGGAGGCTGAGGTGGAGAACCAGGGATGGACATGTCGTCTCTGAACCCTTATTATAACCTCCTTGCTGAGGACGCGGTTCTCACCCTGAACAGAGCTCAGAGAGGTTAAGCGATTTGCTAAAGGCCGCACAGCTAGGGATCGACTAAGCTAAGCTTTCAGCTCGGTGCCGTGGGCTGCCCGAGTCCCCGCCCCGTTAACTCTGCCAGGCTGACGTCCAGCCGCTGAGTGTTTTTCCCTTCGTAACAGAACTGAAAGCAGAACCCTCGTTCTGGGTTCTGGCGAGGTCTCAGCCCTTAGCTGTGTCTTGCACATAATAGGAACCGCAGTATGAAAATGCGTCCCAGAAAAGTAACAGGTGCCGCACACTAAGGCCCCACGGGTTCCAAGCATTCTACGCGCCCCGTCCCACAACGCGGCTTGTGGTTATGAGCCCATTTTACAGATGAAGCAGTGGAGGCTTAGATCTCAGCAGTTAGTGGAAGAATCAGGAGCCAAACCCCGGTCTTTCTGACCCCAGGGCCCTCGCCTGGGACCACCGAATGCAGGCTTTGGGAGGTGTATGAAGATGCAGGTGCCAGGGGCCCCGGCCCCTTCCCCACAGCCAGCTCTGATGGGTGGGTCCAGTGTGGGACTCGGGGATCCGCATTTTTAACAAGCAGTGTAGGGGGCTCAGCCCCAAGGGGGGAACATGCATGGGGCCAGTCAGCGGAGCCCAGGGCGGGGACAGGTGAGCGCACCGGAGGCTGGTCCCCCTACCCTGCCGTCCATCCCCACCGTCAGAGGCAGCAGCAGCAGCACTGGGGCAGAAAGCAAGCCACTGGAAAGGACCCCCCAAAACAAATACCTTTCCAGTTTGCTTGTCACAATGCCTGAAATTCCACAAGTCACAAGAAAGTCACTGCAAAGTTCCAGGCTCCCTCTCTCCCCACTTCCTTTCTATCCAAACTCATTTGCTTGGGAGTGCTAGACTCTGAGGAAGAGAAACTGATTTTTACTAGGGTGTGAATGACTTCCTTGGCCCCTCGGGGCACTGGATTCCTTCTCTGGATTCCCTAGGGCACTGGCAAGAGCAGGGGCATCCTAGGATCTCTGCCAAAGTCCCCAGAGGGTCTAAGTGAATGTGACTAGGAACAGAGACTCTCTTTTCTAGCCTCGTCCTCCTGCTAGTGACCCCACCCTGCTCCCCTTCAGAGTGTTGAAGACCCAGAAGGCAAGAGAAGGTCAGACACTGAGGTGGAGGAAAGACAGCTTGTTTAGAACAGGAGTGGCTTCCACGTGTCTGCACCGAGAAGGTGCCGGGACAGAAGACAGGAGTGAAATAGAAGACACCTTCCCGGCCAGAAAGAAGGATGGGCTTTTACAAGGGAACAAGGATGGAGAGAGGGCGTGCCAGGATCTGGGGCAGGAAGTGGGGAGCCCACACCCCCCTTCATTCAGTCCGAAGTAGCAGACACAGTCCACGGGTGCTGGGTGGGGCGGGTGGGAGGGAGACCCGCACTGTCATGGCTGGGAGGCATGCGTTCTTCCTGCAGCTGGGCCTGCGTGTGCTGCCTCTCACACTGCCTTGGGGCCTACTGGTCACGTCTGCCCTTACCACTGTGTCCAGGGCCTAGATGTCCCCCGGGCCCGGTGGGTGCTCCCTACGGATCAGGGAATCCAGGAAGGAATGAGACACTGGCCTGTCCCCTGACCTGCAACTGGACGTCCCCTCTGAGGATGGGGTGGGGGGGGGCAGGTGGCAGCTCAGATCCCACGTTGCCCGCTCGACCCCTCCACCTCCCTCTCCCCCTGCCTCAGGGGCTCCTGGCTTTAAGCCACGGGCTGGCAAGCAGAGGCCCATGAGATGCTCTGGTCTCTCGGCCTCGTATCAGCAGCCCCCGCACAGCGTACAGCCTCCCAGGGAGCCCACCAGCCGCCGCACTGAGTGGGTCGTCGGGGTGGGAGGGCAGCTGAGCGCAGTCACCGGCCCAGCCCAGGCTCTCACTTCCCTGAAAGGCATTTCTGGGGAGTCAGGGGACAGAACTCATACCGTGCCCTCCCCGGGAATTCCAGAAACCGTGGGTTTATTCAGCACTTGTTTTTTAAAAAAAAAAACCAAAACCCCGAAAAAACAAAAAGCAACTCAGTCCTGCCGTGGGGGAAGACTGGGGCCCATGCACACACATGAGACGAGACGTTTCATGATGAACTGCCCTTCCGACCCGTGGCGCACCCAGTGCGCTCCCGCTCCGGATCCCCGAGCTTGGGAGGAAGGTACCCAGTGAGCGAGAGCTGCTGTGTTTCTTTCAGGACCCGCTGGTGGGGCAAGTCCTGGATTTAAAAACTCGAGTTTTTCTCAAGAAGAATGAATGACCTCAAGTAGCCATGAGCCCGACAGGGTGCGGAGAGGACGCTGGTGTGTGGGAGCAGGGGGATTGGGGTTCCGGCTGGAGCTGGAAGAGGCATCCAGCGTCTCTGTGCCAGGAGGCCACCTGCAAAGAGCTCGGCGGAAAGATAGGGCCCCTGTTCCTCATGCGCCCTCTGCCCTTAGGGCCTGGGATGCAAATCCCCTTATCCGAGGCCTGCCCTGCCCTGGACAGCAGCCCCTAGGCCCACGAGGCCGCTGGGCACCTGCTGGGTCTCAATGACTCCGTGTGGAAAGAAGAACATAAAAGGTCATTGATAAATGTGATATGGGTTACTTGTGGGAAAGATCCTTCGGGTGTATTGGGTTAAGGTAAATGTATTATTAAAATTAGTTTCAGCTTCTTTTTCCCCCTCTTTTAGCTCCCCCCATTGAAATTCTTCCCTCTCGTGCCCCTGCTCACACGTGGACCCTCAGGACAGCCCGGCTGGCTCTGCCAGTGGAGCACGCAGCTCTCTATTTTGGGGGGGGAGGCCATGAGTCAGGTGTCGAGATGACTTAAATAAATACATAAACTTAAAAATAATTTTTGGGTGGGGAAGCACGTAGTAATCCACAGCCATGTCCTCCAATCACGCAGCAGCATTTCTAGAAACAACCTGAGAAGTAGCCCAAAGGAAGTTCAAGTCAGAGGCAGAACTGGTAGACCTCAGCGTGCAGAAGCAGGGAGGCACCTCGCGGGCAATGTGAGACGGCCGGCGAGACAGTCGCACGGGGCCACCCGATGGGTTGCGTGGGGCAGTCGCAAGGTGGAAAGAATGGAAGAGACCCAGGAGACTGGCGGGAGCCCCGGGCCCTGAGAAAGCAGAGTGGGGGGCCCGTGCCCCTGCGGCAATCGCTTCTCCCCGTGTTCCCTGCGTCTGAGGCCGGAGCCCGCCGTGAGAAAGCCCAGAACACGGACCTTTCACCGAGCGAGGGCAGGAGCCTCCCCTCTCGCTCTGCCACCTGCCTTGCCGTGAACAGGAACTGAACACATGGTCAGGACGGCAGGTACCCCATCTAAAATGGGCTTCTGCTCGCCCCTCCCCAGCAGGTGGCTCCTGCGGTGTTTCCGTGGCGTTGGGTGTGATGTATCTATCTGCCTGGGGCAGAGCCTTCTGGACCTGCGGATGACTCGGGCTTCCTGCTCCGTTATCCCAGGAGTTCTGCAGCCCAGAGGTCCCTCCTTGGATCCGACCAGGTTGTCTCGCGCTGTTGCCAGTTTTCTTACGTGTTTGGCTCTGCGCGTGAGCGGGACACCTAGAGCCCTGTCCCTGGGGGACCGTCTGGCAACAACGTTGGTGCCATCAGTGGGGTGGGGGGGGCCTGGGGACGCCTGCGCCTGGTGACAGCCAGCGAGGCCTGTGTGTCCTCTCTAGAGCGCATGGAATCAAAATAAGACGATTGTAACTTTTCAAAATATCGACACGTAGGGGAAAACTAGAGGGCCAGCACCACACTCCCTACCGTGGTGGTTGCGAGATTGTGCAATGTGGGGTCATTCTTTTCCCGTGTTTCTCGGAAGTTCTCATTTTTGTCTATCCTAAGAAATACCGAGCGGCCCCCAGGCCCTGTCTTCACTAGGCTCCACAGTCCCACTTTCAAGCTCCCTGGCCCCAGGGCCAGGAAAGGGGGTGTCTCTCCGGACAAGTGATGCGCGACAGGGTGGGACGGGAGACACAGGGCCAGGCCCTCTCCATGGTGATTTCCCCGGGGCAGCGGCAGGTGGCTGGGTGAAGATCTGACCCCAGCCCAGCACAGCACAGCTTGACCCCAAGGCCACGGGAACACAGGATGCCTTATCGGTCCCTACGCCCCAGACACACACACGCAAAGACGCCCAGGCGGGTGGTGGCTAGGTGCCAGGGGCCCCAGGCTGCAGCCCGAGGTTGCCATGGTCATTGCCTTACCCCCTCATGCCCAGCACAGACCCGGTAGGGTGCTCCCAGCTATCAGTTCCCCACACTCCTCATCAGAGTCCGGAGAGGCTAACCAGCTCTCTCCAGCAGACGCGGCTCGCCGCCTGTCATGAGGTCAGTTCAACCCCCCGGCAGACTGCGGGGGAATGGAAGCCCAGAGGGGAGCCGTGATTCTGAATTCAGCCAGCCATCGAGAGTAGACTGGACTGGCCAAGGCCACCCAGAGATTGGGCTACACCCCCCAGGGGTCCAAAGCCCAGACGCCTACCTGGGTTGCAAGGGTGTCCATCTGTGTGCGGCTGAGGGGACTGCGGGAACCGGACTGCGGTGGCTCCGATGCAGCTGGCAGGAGACTTTCCTCGCCCACAGGCCTCCCGCCCACCCCAGAGCAGTGAGCCCCAGCCAGACCGCACTTCCCCTTCCTGCTCAGCCCTTGGGCGGGGGAGGACCACGCGCCCCAGGCAGCCCCGTCCTTCTTCCAGGGAAGCTGGCTCTCGAGGCTCCCAGGAGCCAGAATCTCCTCCTGCAAGACCCTGCATAGGACCATCCCAGCGGTGGGGGTCAGGCCCAGGGACGGGCTCGGCAGGGGGGACCGGGTGGCCGAGTGGTCCCTGCAGATGAGTGTGGGTGAGCGTTCCTGGCTGTGGCAGCCGGCCCAGGGCTCCAAGAGTGAGGACGTTGGCTCCCACCCAGAGGTAGCCCCTGGGGGGACCTGGGCTCTGGTGGGACAAACACAGTGCGCCCACGGAGACCTGCTAGGGGACACCCGTGCCCACCTAGGGGCTGCCTAGCCAGCTTCTGCTATGAGGCTGCTCCGGGACATGGCCCTGTGGGCTGTCCTGATAGGGGCTCGTGTCCACCTGCATGGCTGACAGTCCCCAGCAGCGCCCATGGCCGGTTACAGCAGGGCCGGCACTGGAAAGCCAACCAACCATGTTGAGGACTAACATGAGCATCCCGGGGGGAAAAGCAGGCACACACCAGCCTGCACTGTGTCTGCTGGGGGGAAAAGGTATTTTGACTTTCCGGGGTAATGATGCTACTCTGGGCTTTCTGGGAAGTGCCTACCAACTGGCCTACAGGAAGCACGATTCCTGACCTGTAGGGTTTGCGAGTTTCCAACACGACCCCGTCCAGCTGCTGGTGGGATGATCCTGGACTCAGACTCCGGGCTATGTCTGCAGTCAGGGGTCGGGGCTGCTAACCCCCACCCTGGAGCCCTTGTGGGGACCAGGGCCCACCCCTGTCTGGCTGCATCTCCTGGGCCTGGGGAGTTGTCACCTCCACTTTCCAGCTGAGCTCACCGGAGCTCTGCGAGGTCGCTGTGGGGCGGGGTGGGCAGGGTGGGGGTGGGGGTGGGGGAGACGGGGGCGGGGGGAGGGCAGAGGTGGAGGGGAGTCTGTGCAAGCGCAGCCGGCCTGCTGGGAAGGCCTTTGAGCCCGGGTCTGTCCTGTGCAAACTCTGTGCTCTTAGGGGGATCGAGCCAAAGTGTCGTTGCTCAAAACCCCCTACAAGCGAAGTCACAGTGACCTTGGGAGAGGGGAACAAGCGTGTCCGTGGGTAGAGCTGAGCCCCTGCCCTAAGGCCATGGCTGATTCACCAGTAAGTGGTTCCGTAGCGCTGCGCCCACCGTCATTAGGTGACAGCATTCTCGACAGACCTGATGCACCCCCTCCTCCGCCACGTGCACAGGACACCCGGCCCAGGCGGCCCGGGGGTCCGGATCCCACGTGCACTTTGCCGACAGCGTCCTGCGTAAGCCCTTCCCCCGTCTGAGCCTCAGTTTCCTGGCTTGCGAAGTAAGTGAGCCCAGTGGTGACGAGCCTGGACGGGGCGCCCGCACAGCCTGGATACAAGGGAAGATGGCTGGTAGGTGCGCGTTGGCGGAGAAAAGCAGCTGAGCCCCCTGCAGAGAGAAGCGAGTGACCCACGCCTCCTTCCAGCAAACCCCAGACATGTTTGCCAGGCTCTGCGCTGGGCTCTGCGCTGGGCCCCGCGCTGGGCCCCACCAGGCTCAGACCCAGTGCCTGCCCACAGGGAAGCCTCTCCGGGTGTGGGGGGAAGGTGAAGGCGTGCTGTAATGCCCGCGGGACTAACGCCTGTCACAAGTCTGTCCGCAGAGGTGGGCGAGCTGTAGTCTGCCCCGTGGTGGAGCCCGCCTTCTCCAGGACAGAGGGGCACCTGCATTGGTCTCGAGAGCCGTGAGTGCTCCCGTGGGAGCTCAGGAGTGGCAGGGCTGGGGAAGGGCAATTGCAGCATTTGAACGGGGCCTTGAAGGATATGTAGGAGTTCACATAGGGGAGAGAACAGGGACAGATGCTGAAGGTTTGCAGAGAGGCAGGTGGCAGTGGGTGGGGGTGGAGAGCAAACTGGGGGCCCCACCCCAGGGCTCGTGGACCTGCCTATTTCCTTGCCACCCACACTCTTCCTCTGGCTCTGCCACTGTCTTTCCGCCCAAGAGGGGCAGAAGGTCGGTTTGGCCTTCCTTCTGCCGCAGGGAGGTGCCACACTCTGGGTCTGGGTGTTGCAGGGGCCCCACGGCTCCAGGAGAATGGGGGACGCCCTCTGGTGGCTGTCTGCAGTGCCTCTGTCCCTGACTCAGGGTCCTACCCGCCCGGGGTCTCCCAGGGGAGACGGCTGGACACATGTGACCTCGGCCTCTGGAAGCCACAGAACCTGAGACCCTCAGACTGGAGGGACCTGGGATGGGATTGCAGTCACCTCTGGCCCCCGGGATTCCACGTCCTCATCTGCATCCTGCCAGGTGGCCGCAGCATCTGAGTCATGCACAGAATAAGGCCACCTCGTGGGTGTCAGACTCTGTCATGACCAGCGACCGAAGGGAGGGCTGGATGGGGCCATCGGGGCAGAAACAATTCTTCTAGGCCCTGTGATTTGCTCTTTCTAATCTCAGAACAGCTGACGAGGATGGGGGGAGTGTAGCTTCCAGGCCCAGAGCTGGAACCAACAGCGGGAACTCCCTTGGAGTGGGTGGTGGCTGAAGGGTGGGGGCCCAGAGCTCGGCGGATGGCAGTTTAAGACCCTGAAACCCAGGGAACTGCAGGCCACCTGCTGTGGGGGGAGGAGAACTGGGTTTGGTCCGGTCTGTTTGGAGTGAGCCCCCCCGCCCCTGCCCCAGCCCCAGCAGGCTGCCCAGGTCCTGGAAACAGGGCAGGAAGAGAGGAAACCCTTGTTTTATCCTTGTTTCTTGCCTTCACACAGCTCCTTCCCATCGGGTCCAACACTTCGTCACCCTATGGTTCAAAGTATCAAGTGACATGAAGTAGAAAGAAACAAAAAAACGAGCAGTTCCTATTTTGGACTAGACTCCGGTGTTTTCCCCGAGACGGATCACCATTGTCCATCCCATGACATGAGTCAGTAATCGGCCAGGGTGTGCTCCACGCGCCCCGACACTCAGGGGGACTTCTGGGGCGGGGGCTCACCCAGCCTCAAATGCAAACTCGAGTCAGCCTTGGGAGCAGGAGCCTGTGAAGCTGTCCTCCGTGGGAGCTGAGAGGCGGTCACGTGTCTGCACGGTGACTGAGAGCCATGGGGAACAGGACCCAGTCCCAGGCTCCAAGTGGCTCCCACTCCAACGGGGACAAAGGCAAGGAGGTGGGTTAGTACAGTCAGGACAATTGTGGCAGTGATCACAGCAGAGCCCAGAGCTAGACTCTAGTACGCTTGGGAATTTAGGAGATGCCGGGGGTGGTGGTTCAGGTCAGCACTGAAAAGGTGGGCGACTCATTTCATGGTCCTGCCCGGTCACTTCGAAGAACTTCCTAGCTGGACCCCAGGCTCCCAGGAAACACATTCCAGCTACAGCAAAGATGTAACTTTAAGACATGAAAGTGGAGAGAAGTACCAGAGGCAAATAGAGATACTCTTCTTCTTGAAATCATCATGGGTGGGGAGGGACTTCCTAAGTTTGCCACAAACCCAGGAATCGTAAAAGGAAGCATTGATGAGTTTGATGTTAAAGTCAGTGGAGGACGACGGGGTCAGGGGCGCCGCTGCGAGGTGGGCGTCTGAATGGGGAATGACAGTTGGAATGAAAATGGGACGTGGACCAGGGTTTCTAATCTGAGAGCATCTCTTACAAGCTAATAAGAAATGAGATGTGGGGCGCCTGGATGGCTCAGTCAGTCGGGCGTCCGATTCTAGGCTTCGGCTCAGGTCATGATCTCAGGGTCCTGGGGTCGAGCCCCACATCAGGCTCCCTGCTCAGTGTGGAGCCTGCTGGAGATTCTCTCTCTCTCCCTCTGCCCCTCCCCTGGCTCTCTCTTTCTCTCTGTGGGGAAAAAAACAAAAAAGAGAAAGAAATTTACCCTAAGGAGATGCCTAGACAAGTGGAAAAGGGGCTCGGGGGGTGTTGTTTATCATAGTGAGAAGTTAGGAGCAATTTGGCAATCAACCACGTACTCGTTAAATATGTTATTGTGTGTAACCTTGTGCGCTGATTGAAATGGACATGTAATTCCACACTTATTGTTGTAGAGCAACGACCACAACTTATTTACTGGACGAATAAGGCAGATGATAAAGTCGCATGTATAATGACGTTATAAATCATATACTTGAACCTGTCAAGAAAGGCAAAGACCCGTATGTTACCGGCGGTTGCCGCTGAGTTGATGGGCTTCCTGGAGATCTACACTGTCTTCTTTTAATGGTCTGAGGAGGTTTGGGTACGTTTGTAAATCACAAAAACAAGAACTCGTCTTTAAAGTGCTGTGAGAGGGGCATGGAAGCCAGAGTGTGTACGGGAACTGGGAGTCCTCCCCCAGCCCCCCAGGGCGGCTCTGTCATCCCCAACCACAGCCAGGCAGCCCCTCGCCCTCCTGTCCCTACCCCGAGGTCATCGAGGTGGGATCTTCCCGGTCCACAGGCAAGGTCAGTGGCAGGCAGCAGCCATCTCTTGGAGACGAGGGGGTCCCCACCCACTGTCTCCATTCTTGGAGGTACAGATCCCTTTCAGAGGGCATGGGGAACACTCACAGACCTGTCCTTGCCTCCACATTTCATGGGCCCCCAATTCCCAGGGCCCATAATATGTCACCTTGTTTGGGCAAAGGGACTTTGAGATGGTAATCCTATCCTCCTGACCCAGGTGGGGCCATGGTCATCACCAAGGTCCCCTCCAAGAAGGAGGCAGAGCTATGACCCTAGAAGTGAGCGGTTGGGACGAGGCAAGAAGTGGCCATCTGATTCTCCCTGAGAGCCTCCAAGAGAAACAGTCCTGCTGACCTCTTCCGACTCCTGGTGGTCAGAGCTACGGCAGCAACAGGAATGGACACCCCTCCAGCACCCCCGGGAGCCCCCCCAGCCCGTGGTGCACTTATGCCTAAGTTGGCTTCCGAGGGTTTCTGTCCTTTGCTGCCCAACACAACCCTTTCAGGACAACAGCAAGTGTCCCGTTGACAGACCGGTGTCCCCTCACCCCAACGCTCCTTCTTATTGCCTCCACGCTGCTCCCTGGAACCTTCTAGATGTTAGGTCCCATCGTTGTTGTTTGGTTGAGAGCTGAGGTGGGGGCTGGTGGAA